ATCCTCCAGCTGTGGCACTGGCATCCCATAAGGACACTGGTTCTAGTCCCGGCCGCTCCTCTTATAATCCAGCTCTCTGCTGTGGCCTGGGAAAGCAGGAGAAGATGACCCAAGTGTTTGGGCCTCTGCATCCGCATGGGAGAATAGGAAGAAGCACCTGGCTCCTAGCTTCAGACCGGCGCAGCTCCAGCCATTGTGGCCATTTGGGGAGTGAATCAATGGAAGGAAGACCTTTCTCTCTGTCTCTCCCTCTCACTGTCTGTAACTCTACCTCTCAAATAAATAAATAAATAAAATCTAAAAAAAGGGGGGGGGGTTCACAGTGCTTATAAGAAAGATCATTATTTTCATCCTTTAAGTAGTTCACATTTTTATTTCACTTATAATTTTATCCAGAAATAAAAACCTAATTCGTTATGTAATGTATCTTATCACAAGTATTAAAGCAATGCAAACTCAAGTATTTTCTTTTGTGGCAGCAACACAGTTATGGACTGGGCTTCAAAGACAGGGAAAAATTCATTTAAAATAACTGATACACTTTTCTGCCCAAAGATATAAGAACTAAGACTTAACACTGTAATCACATGAATGGTGTGTTATGATAAGGAAAAAAAAAGATGGTCCAATATAACCAGTGACTTCTTTTTAAAAAGATTCAAAAATGGATGCCTTAATATGTGGTTAGGTTCCCAGTGACAGGATATTCTGTAATCTAAGGAACTACAGAGGAAAAATGAGAGAAGTTCAACTTCCCTGCCATTTTTCCATAAATGTTACTATGTTGACTTTGCATTTCCTTTGTACTTTTACTTCTTTCATAGTGATGACCGTGTTTCTGTGTGCAGCACATCCTTAAGCATCTTCTGCAAGGCTGGACCAGTGGTGACAAATTCTTTCAATTTCTGTTTGTTATGGAAGGTCTTTATTTCACCTTTGTTCACAAATGAGAGCTTTGCAGGGTATAGTATTCTGGGTTGGCAGTTTTTCCTCTTAAGACTTGGAATATATATCACCATCCTCTCCTAACCTGTGGAGTTTCTGAGACGTCTGCTGTGAGTCTAATTGGAGATCCTCTGAGAGTAATCTGGTGTTTCTCTTGTGCACATTTAGAATCTTCTCTTTATGTTCCACTGTGGAGCGTTTGACTACAGTGTGCCATGGTGAGAATCTTCTAGTCATGTCTGTTAGGAGTTCTATGTGCTTCCTGTACTTGAATATCCCTTTCTTTCTCTCTCTTAAGTTAGGGAAGTTTTCTGATTATTTCACTAAAAAGGCCTTCTAATCCCTTCTCTCTTTTCACACCTTCGGGAACCCATAAGACCTATATGTTGGGTCATTTGATAGTATCTCATAGATCTCCAGCACTCTTTTTTCATTTTCTGATTATTTCTTCTTCTTCTTCTTCTTCTTCTTCTTCTTCTTCTTCTTCTTCTTCTTCTTCTTCCTTCTTCCTTCTTCCTTCTTCCTTCTTCCTTCTTCCTTCTTCCTTCTTCCTTCTTCCTTCTTCTTCTTCTTCTTCTTCCTTCTTCTTCTTCTTCTTCTTCTTCTTCTTCTTCTTCTTCTTCTTCTTCTTCTTCTTCTTCTTCTTCTTCTTTTTCTTTCTTTCTTTCTTTCTTCTTCTTCTTTCTTCTTCTTCTTTCTTCTTCTTTCTTCTTTCTTCTTTCTTCTTCTTTCTTCTTCTTCTTTCTTCTTCTTTCTTCTTTCTTCTTCTTTCTTCTTTCTTCTTTCTTCTTCCTGACTGAATAATTTCCAGAGATTAATCCGTTATTCTTTCTTCTGTGTTGTTCAGGCTTTCCACTGCATTTTAAATTTATCTATTGAATTCTTCATTTCCAATATTTCATTTTGATTTCTCTTTAAAATCTCAGTTTCATGGGAAAAATGTTCATTTGTGTCATGTATGGATTTCTTTAATCCGTGGATTTGCTTCTGAATACTTCTAAGTAATCCTATGATTAATTTTTTGAATTCAGTTTCTGGCATTTCTTCAATCTCTTCATCTTCATATTCTATCATTGAAGTGTTGTGTCCTTTTGGGGGCATCATGTTGTCTTCCTTATTCTTGTTTCTTGAGTTTCTGCATTTACTTTTAGGCATTTGTGGAGACACTTGTTGCCCCCACCCCCAAGATGGCTTTCATCATTGGACTGTGCCTCTGTGGCTTAGTGGAGTGTCTCCTCTTTCAGTGATACCCAGAGGCATGTTCTGGGTGTGGTCAGGGAGCTCTGTTCAGTGCTCCAGGGTGAGGGGAGTGCCCAAGGAGACACCATAACAAGTTGCATGGTAAATGTCTTCTTCTTGTTTTTTGGCCAGAGGGGAGGATTAATCTGCTCTGTTCTCATAGTCTCACACTCACCTTCTCTCCAAGGAGACCAATGCCTGGTCAGTAGCCCCAGTGGGTACTGCACTACCACAAGAACCTGCACTACCACAAGAACCACACAGAGGATCCATGCAGTCCTTGGTGTGAGCATGGATTCCTGCAGCAATGACCCTCACCAAGGAATCAGGGAGCCCTGAGGGTGTGGAGCCACCCACAGGGACAGCCCAAAGACCCAATCATACCCTATGCCCTCACATGTAGCCACAGTGTTTTCACAGTTCCAGCACACAAGGCTCCCACAGTCATGAGCACCCAGCTCCCTGTCAGTTCTCCCAGCCAGACTCAGGCATCTCCTCTTAGTGATTGCTGCACTGGTGCACCTGTTACGTATGTCTAAAATGGCACCTACCCTCTATCAGCTAGTTACAGGACGCTGGGGCTCAGTGATCAGAGAAAGAAAAACTTGCCTCCCCTTTTTTTGCCTCTAGGTTGGCAGGCACACTGTCCCCAACTGGGCTGCAAGCCAGACTCATGCCAGGCTCTTCCCACAGCTTGATGGCCATTGGCTTGAGCTGCTTCAGGCTGGTTTCACCTCATTCTCCAAAGCTGGTGCTGAGGCTCTCGGCTCCTGGTGTCCTGAGCTGTGCAAGTCCACACCTACCACAAAGATCCACAGTGTCCCTCTGATTTGCGTGGAGTTTCCTCTGCCATTTTCTCCCTAACTCTTCCCTGAGATTGCACACTCTCCATTTTTTCAAGTGTCTTCCCCTAGACGAGAGCAGTAAGTTCTCTCCCTATTCTGTCGTCTTGGTATGTCTCAACACCACAATTTCTAATAAGCCGCTGCCACCGTGGGGACTCTTAGTGGGGATTGCTTGCCTCCTTGACCTTTCTGTTGGGTTGTGTGGCATTTGCCGTGAGTGACTTCATTCTTGTGTGGTTGGGTGTGACAGGTGAGTGCAGGTATCATTCCCATCCTTTGGTGGGACAGCAGGACCCCCGCCCCTTAAAACCCAGGGCAGAGCACAGGAAAGAAACAGCTCGTCATCCAGTCCACTGGCATGGTTGCTGTCGCTCTGATTTCAGAGGGGGTAAAAGTGATGTCTATAAAGAGCTGTCAACCAAAATAACCAGAGGCTGGCTGGAGAGTCACAGGTCACCTGTACCCAGATAGAGGTGAGACCGAGGACAGACATGGCTCACGTGTGCCCAGACAGGTCAGACCGAGGACAGACAGGGCTCACCTATGCCCAGACTCAGCTCAGACCAAGGGCAGACAGGGCTCACGTGTGTGACTCAGTTCCAACCAAGGACAGACATGGCTCACGTGTGCCTTGACAGGTCAGACCGAGGACAGACACGGCTCACCTGTGCCCAGACGGGTCAGACCGAGGACAGACAGGGCTCACATGTGCCCAGACTCAGCTCAGACCAAGGGCAGACATGGCTCACGTGTGCCCAGACTCAACTCAGACCAAGGACAGACAGGGCTCATGTGTGTGACTCAGCTCAGACCAAGGACAGACAGGGCTCACGTGTGCCCAGACTCAACTCAGACCAAGGACAGGCAGGGCTCACGTGTGTGACTCAGCTCAGACCAAGGACAGACAGGGCTCACATGTGTGACTCAGCTCAGACCAAGGACAGACAGGGCTCATGTGTGTGACTCAGCTCAGACCAAGGACAGACAGGGCTCACGTGTGTCCAGACTCAACTCAGACCAAGGACAGGCAGGGCTCACATGTGTGACTCAGCTCAGACCAAGGACAGACAGGGCTCATGTGTGTGACTCAGCTCAGACCAAGGACAGACAGGGCTCACATGTGTGACTCAGCTCAGACCAAGGACAGACAGGGCTCATGTGTGTGACTCAGCTCAGACCAAGGACAGACACAGCTCATGTGTGCCCAGAGTCAGCTCAGACTGAGGCAGACAGAGCTCATGTGTGCCCAGAGTCAGCTCAGACTGAGGCAGACAGCGCTCATGTGTGCCCAGACTCAGGGCAGACCGAGTTGCAGAGTGTCTTCCAGTCGCCACCTACTGAGCAAGCCAGGAATGGAACAGGTGCCTCTGCAGCCTTGCTTCCCTTCTGTGCCCAAAGCTGACAGAGACAGTCCACTCTCAAGACCACAGAGTGATCCTAGCAGAGGCTGGCATGAGTGACCGGAGATCATTGATGGGCACTTCATGGTAAGGAGACGACCACTGGAAACCAGGGGGTGCCACCCACTTCTTCATATATCTGGAAACCACATTACTGCAAGGGCCACATCTTAGCAATTCAGAGATAGCAACCATGGAATAGCTTGAGGGCCACATGTCTAAGGAGCCTGTCCCAGATCAGAGATAGCCCTGCTGGGTCAGCCATCACCTCGTACCTGTGATGTGTGTGTCAGTGCTAATCCTGCTCTCATGTCTGGAAGACACCTTGTGTCTGGAAGACTCCGTGTTTCTGGAAGGTTCTGTGTGTCTGGAGGACCCCGTGTGTCTGGAGGACTCTGTCAGGAGGACTCCGTGTGTCTGGAGGGCTCCCTGTGTCTGGAGGACCCTGTGTCTGGAGGACTACCCGTGTATATGGAGGACTTCTTATGTCTGGAGGACCCCGTGTGTCTGGAGGGCTCCCTGTATCTGGAAGACCCTGTGTGTCTGGAGGACTCTCTGTGTCTGGAAGGTTCTGTGTGTCTGGAGGACTCCGTGTATATGGAGGACTCCGTGTGTCTGGAGGACTCCCTGTGTCTGGAAGACCTCGTGTGCCTGGGGACCCCGTGTTTCTGGAGGACTCCCCGTTTCTGCAGAACTTGTGTGCCTGGAGGACTCCCTGGGTCTGGAAGGTTCTGTGTGTCTAGAAGACTCCGTGTGTCTGGAGGACTCCCCATGTCTGGAGGACCCCCTGTGTCTGGAGGACTTCCCGTGTCTGGAGGGCTCCCTGGGTCTGGAAGGTTCTGTGTGTCTAGAGGACTCCCCGTGTCTGGAGAACTCCATGTGTTTGGAGGACTCCCCGTGTCTGGAGGACCCCCTGTGTCTGGAGGACCCCGTGTGCCTGGAGGACTCCCTATGTGCCTGGAGGACTCCCCATGTCTGGAAAACTCGTGTGCCTGGAGGACCACATGTGTCTGCAAGGTTCCGTGTTTCTGGAGGACCCTGTGTCTGGAGGACTCCATGTATATGGAGAACTCCCTGTGTCTGGAAGACCTCCTGTGTCTGGAGAACCCCATGTGTCTGGAGGACTCCCTGTGTGTCTGGAGGACTCCCCGTGTCTGGAGGACCCCGTATCTGGAGGATTCCCTGTGTCTGGAAGGTTCTGTGTGTCTAGAAATCTCTATATGTCTAGATGTCTCCGTGTATATGGAGGACTCCCCGTGTCTGGAGGACCCCGTGTCTGGAGGATTCCCTGTGTCTGGAAGGTTCTGTGTGTCTGGAGGACTCCGTGTATATGGAGGACTCCTTGTGTCTGGAGGACTCCCCGTGTCTGGAGGACTCCCTGTGTCTGGAGGACCCCGTGTGCCTGGAGGACTCCCTATGTGCCTGGAGGACTCCCCATGTCTGGAAAACTCGTGTGCCTGGAGGACCCTGTGTCTGGAGGACTCCATGTGTCTAGGGGACTCCCTGTGTCTGGAAGACCTCGTGTGTCTGGGGACCCCGTGTTTCTGGAGGACTCCCCGTTTCTGCAGAACTTGTGTGCCTGGAGGACTCCCTGGGTCTGGAAGGTTCTGTGTGTCTAGAGGACTCCCTGTGTCTGGAGGACTCCCCATGTCTGGAGGACTCCCTGGGTCTGGAAGGTTCTGTGTGTCTAGAGGACTCCCTGTGTCTGGAGGACTCCCCGTGTCTGGGACTCCCTGTGTCTGGAGGATCCCGTGTTTCTGGAGGACTCCCCGTTTCTGGAGAACTCGTGTGCCCGGAGGACTCTGTATGTCTGGAGGACTCCCTGTGTCTGGAGGACTCCGTGTGTCTGGAGGACTCCCTGTGTCTGGAGGACTCTGTGTGTCTGGAGGACTCCCGTTTGTCTGGAGGACTCCGTGTGTCTGGAGAACTCGCGTGTCTGGAGGACTCCCCGTGTCTGGAGGACTCCCCGTGTCTGGAGGACTCCCTGTGTCTGGAGGACTCCCCGTGTCTGGGACTCCCTGTGTCTGGAGGATCCCGTGTTTCTGGAGGACTCCCCGTTTCTGGAGAACTCGTGTGCCCGGAGGACTCTGTATGTCTGGAGAACTTGTGTGTCTGGAGGACTCCGTGTGTCTGGAGGACTTCCTGTGTCTGGAGCACTCCATGTGTCGGGAGAATTGGTGGGTCTGGAGCACTCCCTGTGTCTGGAAGGGTCCGTGCGTCTGGAGAGCTGCATGTGTTTGGAGGGCTATGGGGCTCTCTCTTCCTAGTGTGAACTGAGAATCACAAGTGTGGTGAAGAGCAAAAGCAGTTAACTCGGGTGTGCAGCAGACTTGTGTGTGGGAGATGAGGCTCAGCCCTGCACTGAAGGTGGTTCTCCCGAGGGAGTGTCCTGGGCATTGCAGGGAGGGGCGAGCACTCAGCCTCCCTGGGGAAAGGAAGGCAGCGTCTCTCCGTCCACAGCAGGGCCATGTGGGGCACACAGGCCGCCCTGTCCGGCGTGGCCCAGCCTGCCTTCACTAGTTCCCTGTGCGGGTCTGCGTGGTGACCTGTCCCTCGGCTATGCCTCCTCTTTGGAGAGTTTGCAGCCATTTTTGGTTTTCTTTGATCATGCCCCTCCCATCTCCATCAAGTGTGTTCATGGAATCCTGGCAGATGAGGTCGTGTCGGGGGTCAGCCAGTGCTGCCCACACTCAGGGCAGACCCTTGGCATGGGGCTGCTCACTCGGATGGGGTCCTGTCCCACGGAGCGGGGAAAGCGTCAGCGATTCTTCCGAGATTCGGTGCAGGAAAGGCCTTAGAAAAAGGTTGATCGGGGCCAGCACCGTGGCTCACTAGGCTAATCCTCCACCTTGCGGCACTGGCACACCGGGTTCTAGTCCCGGTCGGGGCGCCAGATTCTGTCCCGGTTGCCCCTCTTCCAGGCCAGCTCTCTGCTGGGGCCCGAGAAGGCAGTGGAGGATGGCCCAAGTGCTTGGGTCCTGAACCCCATGGGAGACCAGGATAAGTACCTGGCTCCTGCCATCGGATCAGCGCGGTGCGCCGGCCGCAGCGCGCTAGCCTTGGCGGCCATTGGAGGGTGAACCAACGACAAAGGAAGACCTTTCTCTCTGTCTCTCTCTCACTGCCCACTCTGCCTGTCAAAAAAAAAAAAAAAAAAAAAAAAGAAAAGAAAAGAAAAATGTTGATCGACCACCGTTGGTTCAGGTGGTCCAGGGTGTCCTGGCAGAGACACAGTGGCATAAGCTTAGCTTAGCCAGCAGCTGAGCTCCAGATTGGTGTGGGAAAGTGGTGCACGTGGTCCACGTGGTTTGTAATGCGGTGTACGGTCCCATGAGCGAGCGTGATGCTGGCAGAGGCCTTGTTCTTGGGCTTAGAGGAGTCGGGTGGATGACAAGTACAGTGTTTATGGGCAGGAGACTGTGAAATGATGCGAATCCTGCTCTGCTTCTGCATGGGGAACCTGTCCCTGGGGCCACACTACAGCGCCCCAGAGGGGCCTCCCCTGTTGCACCTCACACCTGGGCTTCCGCCTGATTCTCCCCCAGTGTCTGCCCCAGGTATGCTGATGCGGTGCCACAGGCTGCGTTTGCTTGTGTTGCTGGTAGGTGACCAAGAGCCAGGCCTCCCGCAGCCCTCCTGGGCCAGGCTGTCCCCCTGTGGCATCCTCTGCTCTTTGACCTGTGAAAAGAGGAAGGGTCTCTACTTTCTCTACCTGCTGACCTGCAGTGCTGGGAGCAGGCGCCCAGGACGTGCTCTGTGGGCCGTCCTCCTAACCTGCCCTCAAGTGTTTTTACAGTAGAGAACGATTTCTTTCCAGAAGCATGGCTCTGTGTCGAGAGAGGGATGATGTAGTGTTGTGAGACAGATGCCTCCCATCCGCCACCAAAAACTGCTCCACCACCAGTACCATTGACTCCCTCATGGCCAGCGGTGTTGGAGATACTGCAGAGCCTGGGGTGGTTTGGAACCCTGGCGGGCCTGGCCTCCTTAACCCAGGTGAGACGCTCAGCTGTGAGGTAGGCCCTAGGAGACATCAGCGTGGCTCCTTCCTCACAGGGCAGTGGCGTGGGGGTGTGTGTGTGTGGTGAGTGACTTCTGTGTGTGGCCACAGGGAGGGACTGTTGGTCTTCACGGTGAAAGGGACACTCTCCAAAAAATGACCAACATGAAAGATCTCTGTGAGTGAGATCCCAGTGGAAAGAAAGGGCCATCAAAGAAGGAGGTACCTTTCTCTGAAGGGAGGAGAGAACTTCCACTTTGACTATGGCCTTGTCTAAATAAGGTTGGAGTTTGTGAACTCAAGAGGCTTCCATAGCCTTGGCAGCTCATGACAAGAGCCTCGGGAGATTACTGACATCATAAATAAGAGTGTCAATTGTTAAATCAACAACAGGAGTCACTGTGCACTTACTCCCCTTGTAGGATCTCTGTCTTGAATGTGTTGTACTATGAGAATTAACAGTAAAAATAGTCTTCAAAGAGTCCCACCACATGCCCCTCCCAAGGTCCCGCCTATCTGTACCTGAGCTTGGGAGACAAAACACTCAGATAACGAGAATCCAGACCCCCATGGGAGGGTCCAGAACAGGCCTCCAGGACCCAGAACCACACTCCCACCTACATCCGTGACAGGCCAGCATTTGGCCAGTTGGTGGGGAGCATCTGCTGTCTCTGGGACTGAAATTCTTCAGATTAATAGCAGGATAATTTTACTTGCATAAGTTGCTAGAATTCTCTGTGACAAAAGTATATGCCAACTTTCTAAAACAATGTTCAGGTTAAGCAATTTTTCACTAAAACAATTTTCTGTTTTGTTAAAAATTATTTATTTATTTGAGAGGAAGAGGGACACACCCAGAGAGAACAGAGTTCCCATCATCTGGTTCACTTCTCAAATGCATGGGAACTAGGAACTGAATCCAGGTCTCCACGTGGGTGCCAGGGACCCAACCTGCTGAGCCCCAGTTGAGCATTGGCAGGAAGCTGGAATCAGGAGTGGAGCTGGGCCTGGAAATTTTTTTAATTTACATAAGGTGAACAAATTTCCTGTATTTTATATATACAGATTTAGGGGCATAGTGATGTCCTCCCCTGCCCCGCTCTCCCTCTCACCTACTCTCCCATACTTCCTCCTCCTTCCTTTGTCATTTTTTTCTTTTAATTATTGCAATGAAATACTTCAGTTTATTTTATGGTCATAAGCTTAACTCCCACCTAAGGAAAGAATTCAAAAATAGTAAGAAGAAAAACCACTGTTCCTCAGCCGTATACACAAGGATTATAAACAATAATGAAATCTCAAAACATCTGTTTGCTTATGTACATTACATTTTTTTGTTCTCTGTTAAGTTACCACAGATCAGGGAAAACATGGTATTTGTCTTTTTGGGACTGGCTTATTTCAGTAAGCATAATGATTTCTGGTCGCATTGATTTTGTTGCAAAAGACAGGACTTCATTCTTTTTTTGAACTGCTGAGTAGTATTCCATAGTGTATATATACACCATATTTTCTCTATCTGGTTACCAGTTGATGGACATCTCGGTTGATTCCATATCTTAGCTGTTGTGAATTGCGCTGTGTTAAACATGGGGGTACAGAGAACTCTTTCATATGCTGATTTCGTTTCATTTGGATAAATTCCCAGGAGTGGGATGGCTGGGTCATGTAGCAGATCTATTTTCAGATTTCTGAGGAATCTCCACACTGTCTTCCATAATGGTTGTACTATTTGCATTCCCACCATCAGTGGGTGAGGGTACCTTTTCCCCCATGTACTTGCCAGCATTTATTGTGTATTGTTTCCCTGTGAGAGCTGGAGTGAGGTGAAACCTCATTGTGGCTTTTATTTGCTTTTCTGATGGCTAGTGATCCTGAGCACTTCTTCATGTGTCTGTTGGCCATTTGGATTTCCCCTTTTGTAAAATGCGTCTTCAGTCCTTTCCCGATTTCTTAACTGGGTTGTTTGTTTTGTTGTTGTTGAATTTCTTGAGCTCTTTATAGATTCTGGACATTACTCCTTTATCAGTTACATAATTTGCAAGTATTTTCTCCCATTCTGCTGACTGGCTGTTCACTTGATGCAATGTTACCTTTGCAGTGCAGAAGCTTCTTAGCTTGGTGGGATGCCCTTTGACAATTTTGGTTTTAATTGGCTGTGCTTCTGGGGTCTTTTCCTGGAAGTCTTTGCCTATTCCAGTGTCCTACAGAGTTCCCCCCCAATATTCTCTTCTAGTGATTTGATGGTATCAGGTCATAGATTTAGCGACTTGATCCATTTTGAGTTGATTTTCAGATAAGGTGGAAAGTAGAGGTCCTGCTTCACACTTGTGCATGTGGAGATCCAGCTTTCCCAGCACCGTTTGTTGAAGAGACTGTCCTTGCTCCTGGGATTGATTTTTGCTCCTTTGTCAAAGATTAGTTGTTTGTAGATGCATGGACTGATTTTTGGGTTTCTGTTCTATTCCATTGGTCTACGTATCTATTTTTGTGCCAGTACCAGATGTTTTGATTATAACTGCCCTGTAAGATGTCTTGACACCTGATATTGTGATGCCTCTGGATTTGTTTTTGTTGTACAAGGTTGCTTTAGCTATTTGGGGTCTCTTGTGTTTCCTTATGATTTTAGCATCATTTTTTCTTTCTTTCTTATTTAAAGATTTATTTATTTACTTGAGAGGCAGAGTTACAGACAGAGAGAGGGAGAGACTGAGAGAGAGGTCTTGCATCTGCTGCTTCACCCCCCAAATGACCATGACGGCTGGAGCTGGGCTGATCCAAAGTGAGGAGCCAAGAGTTTCTTCCAAGTCTCCCATATGGGTGCAGTGACTCAAGCACTTGGACCATCTTCTACTGCTTTCCCAGGCCATCAGCAGGGAGCTGGATCAGAAGTGGAGCAGCTGAGATTGAACCAGTTCTCATATGGGATGTCAATGCCGCAGGTGGATGCTTAACCTACTGTGCCATAGCGTCAGTCCCTAGCATCATTTTTTCTTGATCTGAGAAGAGTGTCATTGGTATTTTGTTTGGAATCACATTGAATCTGTAAGTTGCTTGGCGTAGCATGGACATTTTGATGATATTAATTCTTCCAATACATGACATGGGAGCTAATGTTTTGTAATTTTAAGTGTAGAAATAATTGTAGAGATCTTTCACTTTCTTGGTTAAATTTGCTCCGCAGTATTTACATTTTTTGTAGCTATTGTGAATGGTACTGATTTTTACAAGCTCTTTCTCAACCATGGCATTGTCTGTGTATATGAGGGTATCAATTTTTCTGTGTTGATTTTATATCCTACAACTTTACCAAACTCTCATAGGAGTTCCAGTAGTCTTTTAGCGGAGTCTTTTGGTTCCCCCATTGATAGAATAATGTCATCTGCCAACAGGGATGCTTTGACGCCCTGCTTTCCAATTTGTATCCCTTTGATTTCTTTTTCTTGCCTAATGGCTCTGACCAAAACTGTACTAAATAGCAACAGTGAGAGTGGGCATCCTTGTCTGGTTCCAGATCTTAGTAGAAATGCTTCCACCTTGTCCACATTCAATATTATGCTTGCTGTGGGTTTGTCATATATTTCCTTAATTGTGTTAAGGAATGTTCCTTCTGTATTCAGTTTACCTAAAGTTTTTATCATGAAAGGATGTTGTATTCCATCAAATGCTTTCTTTGCATTTATTGAGATAATCACATGGTTTTTATTCTTCAGTTTGTTTATGCGGTGTATCACATTTATTGATCTGCGAATGTTGAACCATCTCTGCATCCCAGGGATAAATCCCGCTTGATCAGGGTGAATAATCATTCTAATGTGTTGCTGGATTCAATTAACTGATATTTTGTTGAGAATTTTTGCATTTGTGTAATCAGGGATATTGGTCTATAGTTCTCTCTCTTTATTGTATCTTTTTCTGGTTTTGAAATCAAGGTGATGCTGGGCTCATAGAATGAGTTAGGGAGGATTCCCTCCCTTTAAATTGTTTTTGATTACCTTGAGAAGAATTGGAACTAGTTCTTTAAAAAAAAGTTAGGGAGGATCCTGCCTGGAGCTGGCCGAAGCTGCCACATGGACCCAGGTACCCTGGTGCCCTGGTGCCCCAGTGCCCAGTCTCTGGGTTAAGCTGCTGCCTGCAGTGTCAGCATCCCATTTGGGTGCCAGTTCAAGTCCTGGCTGC